TTTACACAGTTTTGCCTCAGCTTTTTCCCGCCAAAACAGGTTGCCTCAGAGCTCCCTAATCTAGTCCCCAATCTGAGGTTACACGTTCTTCTACTAGCGTACCTCCCCGTGAGGTAAGCCTAGAAGATTACCTACGCGCTCTCAGATTGTCCCTGACTAGACCCCCCTTGCTCTGGGCACACTTGCCAAGGCTTTGCTGGACCACTGGACAACTGGACCAGTCGTATCCCACACGCTGGACACCAATCAATGTGACAAACCCAGACCTACTGGAGGATGCCACAGTTTCACTAAGCTGCCACCAACCATTCCCTGTAAGGAGTCACACAGACCAGGAATGGATTTTTAACAAATAAAGGAATAAGGTTTATTTAACCAACACACAGGGAAAATAAAATGATCAAGTGAATAAGATACAGTAACGTGGCTTAGTCTCAATCATACATACACCAGTTTGGTTCACACAGAACGCATTTAACTAAAGCACAGACCCTGAACCTATCAGTTCTGGCTAACCCTACAGACACCTGAACCTATCAGGTTGGTACTGACTGACACACAGTAGTACCCTGTCTGACACACAGACTCCCACTCAAGCTTCTGCTCTCAGCTCTTCTCCAGCTTCTCCCTCACACGCTCCACATATATATACAGTACAGCCCCTCCTCCTGATGTCCCGCCTTCCACTCCCCATAGGATGGAACTTTCCCTCCAAACCCATGACAGACAGGTAACATCAGTGCTGTATGTAACAATACTCACTTGGAAACCAATGTACAGTCTACACCAGGGGTGAGAAAGCTCCAGGAATCAGCATATGAAATGGCCACAGGAATCTTTTGAGACCAGACCACAGGGAACAGTTTCAAAAAAAGCAAAGACGGGCAAAACAGAAAAAACAAACAAACACCATTCAGCTTTGACAGTAAAATGGATTTTCTGCTAAAATAGTGGATGAGTATTGGGGATGAGATCTTTGGGTTTCTTGAACTATAAATCTCATGATTCTCCATTCTGGGAATTCTACCTGACAGAGAAACACATAAATGTCAGTCATTTGGGAGAAAAGCTTCAGCTGGAAGGCTTTGTGGCTTAGCTAGGCCTAGCGCCACCCATGTTTTCCCATTCCTTGCCCAGTCCTGGCTAGAAGCTTTCTTTCTGAGCAAGGAGCTAGACAGAGCAAAGTCCCATCGCTTTCCAGTTTAGGCCATTTCTTCTGGGTGAGCCACGTTTAGGTGTCAGTAAGGTTTGTATAAGTCAGGTAGAACTTCCGGAAGACAGACAGACAGACAGACAGACAGGAAGGCAGACAGACAGAAAGCCGGACGACAGACAGACAGACAGACAGACAGACGCATATGATTCCTACCTGTGCTAGACATAGAACAAGCAGAAGAACACTAGGAGGTTCCTTGGGAGTCTATGTCATATCCTTTCCTCAACGTGTACATGATTCACACAGCAATTTGATACATTTTTTTCCTGTGGGTGTCTATTTGGGGTGTGCTTGCACAGACACCTATATTGATCTCAATGAATCACATTTAAACTGTAGATGTATCCTTTTCAATGAGTGTTTATTCTTCTCTTAGCCTGATCCTTGGAACACACATATTTGGAAAGGTCTCAATGGAACTCCCACCAAGAAGAGAGCCATTGGCTTTAAAAAGTTAGCCAAGTAAGTATGCTGGAAAAATACCAGAAACAGTGGAAGGTCTCTCTATAAGGGGGAGAGGAGGAAGTCTATGCCACTGGCATAGGGTGTACCAAGTTGGCACTATAAGATCACCTTCATGAAGCCCATATTTTTAAAAAATGGCCTCTGCTAGACTGTTACTGGTGCACTGAATCACTTAGATAATTTTTTTTAAAGTATTTGCTTTATGCATAGTGTTGTTTGAGAAGCTGCCTGCACCCAGGGTTTTGCTAACTACTCCACACAAATGAAAATTAAAAAAAACTTTAATTTAATCTAAGTGTTTGAGTACATTGGCAATGATCTGACAGAGGGAAAAAAATAATTTCACTTCCCCTGCTTCTTCACAGAGGAGCAGGGAAAGTGTTCAATTTGCTGTTATCCTGAAGTGTTTCATTTATCAAGCCACTTTACAATACCAGATACCTGTATTTACAATGGAAGGGAGCCTTGACAGCTCAATTTTTGGTCCATTTCCAGCTATTACACATGCTGGGAATGGAGCAAACTAGAGCACACCAACCTGCACCTAAATAGGAGAAGCTCCTGGCAGGGGCTCAAAAAGGTTCAGGTGGGGTGCTCTGAGGGCAGATTGGTCTGCTCTAGTGATTGCGTCATGTTCTCACTGGAAAAAAAGAGCAAACCAAGTCTCCCCCACCGAGCATCAAGCAGTGGGACAAATGCCCATCTGATTGAGCCTTAAGTTTATCTACCAAGAGAGGAACAATGGCAGTTAATCGTAGCCTCCTTCCTTCCATGCAGCTGATAAATGGGCTGTGTGGAAAATGTGGTTCAGATGGACCACTCCCCTTAACTGTGGTGTAAGTATATTCTTCTTCTTTCTGTAAATGCAGCCTAGATCTGGCTGCTCCACTTCAAATCTAATCCAGAATTCATGAAACTGAAACTGAAGAGTATGGCATGGATAGGAATAGGGCCCAAAATGAGTCTTTTTGGTCAGAAATGGTGATTTCTGGAAACGGATGCACCAAATTGCCTCCCCCCGCCTCATATCCAGAGTTGCCTTTTTGCTACCAGGTTTTTTTCCCAGACCATGGTAGCTGCTCATTGCTGACAGTGCCAGTTTGCTCCCTCAGAAGGCTTCAGACTGTACTCCCAGTAGAGTTAACATCAGTTTCCATTTCCTCTGCTGTAAATGGAATACACCCTTTTTACACACTGGTGTAAAAAGGGTGTATTTTTTGACAGACTGGGTGTTACTGAATTTTTAAAAACTGTTTGTACACTTGATTTATTTTAGAGACTTTTATTGGGTTTATTTGATTTTAATGATTTAATGATTAAATTTGTCTCACTTTTTGTATTGCTTTGTTAAGACTGAGTACTACTTGTCTGTGAAAAGGCAAGGCATAACTTTAATATATAAGCCAAGATAAATAAATAAATAAAGTGAGTGCAGGAGGTATTCCTTTCACTCTGAATCAGACTGAACTTAGAAAGTTACTTTTGAAAAGTAATTAATTACAGCTACATTCAAGACCTCCCAGAATAAATAAGAGTATATCTGCACTATACAGTGATAGCAGTTAGATACAAATTCAGATGAGCTGATCAAAAATTTCTGTGAGATAAAAAGTTTTCCTTCCTATTCAGTATTACTCTGCTGTTACTTACCACACATGAACTTATCATTGCCAGATGTAAATAAAATTATTTGCTACAAACCTCAGAGGTGAATGAAAGCTTCCTAAAGTCTCCCCAAAGACTCTTCTCTCTTGTTCTTCCCACAGAGCCGTGAAGTTCTCAGCCAAGTTAATGGGACAAGCAATGGCAAAGAGAGTCAAAGCTACAATTTTGTATGCCACAGAAACGGGGAAGTCCCAGGTCTATGCAAAAACCTTGTGCGAAATCTTCAAGCATGCCTTTGATGCGAAGGTAACCTCCTGCTTCTAACTTACTGTACATAGATTAACAAAAGCACTTGGAAAGTACCTGCAAAGTTACAAACACCTTTTTCATCCTGGTCCTGCAGTAATTTTGCAACTGTTAAAATGTTTCCTGTATATATATATATTAATTTATTTATTAAGCATGTTTATGAATTGCTTTTCTGCTTTTCCACCTACCCTCCCCTTGTAGCAAGGTACAATAAAATAAGAAGATAAAAAGGTCAGAGACAAAATGTTCTTTTAAAATGAGTAGAGACAATTCCAAAAGTCAACATTTGGCAAAATAACGATATCCAACGACTTTTGGGAGATGTTAGGATTCAGCCAACTGGACTTGCTGTGGAAGTTCCACAGTAGGGTGACTGCTAGGGAAAAGGTGAAGATAAAGGGTGGAGGATGAAGAATGTGGTACTATAGACATTTTTCTGAAGGCACTTAGACAGATTGATACACGGGAAAGAGGGGAGCAGACTTGGGTCTGACGTTTTGAGGGATAGGAATGCAGGTTATTCAGAGTGAAATAAAATGTTTGTCTGATTCTCTAGAGAGAAAAATAGGCTAGAGCAGTATTTGATTTATATTTATGTATGTCTGTGAGCAGACTGCAAGCCTGGGAGGAGACTGGACTCATGTCACCAGTGAAGAACTCAACGTGAAGCCTTTGTTTGAAACCAGGGCTAGTCCAGAGCTCATTTTTCCGGTCACAAGACCCTGCCCAGACTGTACCACTCCTCCAACTCAAACTGGGAAAATGCTTATGGAGCATTATCTTGAATAACGTTCCTCTTGGTAACCTATAAAGTTGCTTCCTCTTAGCAACCTATATAAGTAGGCTTGTTCCAGATTCCAACTTTTGACAGTCTTCTGATTCTGCTGATTTTGTGAATTTTGAAAACCAAGTCTCCTTGTGGCACACATTTTGTACAGTAGGTGGACAGAGGCCTGAATCCAGTTGTCAGCCCCAGATAGGGGCGGTTCTCTTGAATCCATCCATTCATCTGCACACATCAACTGACTGTCAGGAACTAGAAATAATTTCTCTTACTGTTGTACATATGTATAGACGTAAGATTTAATTTTTGTATGCTCCATTCTGAATAGTTATGGGGAGCCTGTTTTATTGGTTTATGTATGTGTTTGCTGGTACCCAAATGGCATAAGGGGTAGGTAGAGTGACAGACCTGGGTTCAAATCCCCACTCAACCATGAACACTCAACTGGGGGTGTTGGACTGCTGAAATCACTTCTTAAATATCTCACTTAAATTGAAAGCCCTATTAGAATCACTATAAGTCAATTCTGAATAGACAGCACATCAGACATCATCTAGGAAGGTAACTTTCACTCTTACACCAAGAATCAGGAATCATAATATGCCTCATTATTTCTGATTCTCAGTGTAAGAGTGAAAGTTACTTTCCTAGGTGATGTCTGATTGTTGTACAATTGCTGCTGTAACTTTTAGTACTGTTATTTACATTTCTGTCCAACCTTTCCTCCAGTGAACTTAATGTGACATGGAGAAATATCTCCTCCTTCCCATGTTATTCTCACAGCAGCTCTGTAAGATGGGTCAGGTATTGAGAATATGACTGACCCAAAGTCACCGGTGAGTTGCCTAGTTAAATGGGGATTTGGACCCAAATGTTCTGAGCCCAACGTGTTGACCACCACACCACAGACTATACCTTTCATCAGGTTTCAGTGAGTGTTTTGTTATTTCAGGTGATGGCGATGGATGAGTACGATATTGTCCATCTGGAGCATGAGACCCTTGTGCTGGTGGTCACAAGTACCTTTGGCAATGGAGATCCACCTGAGAATGGGGAGGTAAGAAAACATCATTGTCCTTGCTTTTGGGGAAGTGAGTGGCTCTAGCCATTTTTAATTTCCTGCAGTGCTCCTGGATCTAACACCATTTTGGTATGAGAAATTGAAAGGATAGCTAGATCCAGCTGCCCAACACAGTTTTAGTGCTGCAAGCACAGCCAGACAAGCCTGCCTGGACTGCTGATGGAAGAAGAGGTGCCCACTTTGCCCAGATCCTCCACAAAACATGGTCAGAAGAAAAAAGGTATGACAAATCAGAACTAGAGATAGGAGGCATAGCTAACCCTGGAATAATGATAGAGTCTATTTTTACCACCAAGAGAGAAAGAGAGAGAGAGAGTACTTTTTAATGAAATATTTGTCTCTTCTCTGCTTTGTTTTCCCTTGGATCCTAGAAATTTGGTTGTGCTCTAATGGAAATGAAGAATCCCAACTCCAGCCTGGAAGAGAGTAGGTAAGTGCTGATCAGGTAAGATTCCTCAGCAACTTTACCTGTTCTCCCATAAAGCTAGGACCTTGGTGCTTCTTTGTGGCGTCTGTGAATCACACTCTGGGTGATCCACGCCTGCGCAGAGCCTCATCGGAAAGTTTTAGAGCTTCTGTGGTAGCAAAAAAACACATTATAAGTACCTTGGCGTCAAGGCTCCCCTTTCAGTTTCTTTCAACCGCCACATTGAGAGCCTCTTAGTTCTGCTTCTTTGAGTAAAAGAGAAAGAGAGGTTATTCTTGATTCCTTCCTGTTATCAATCTTTTTCATTTAAACTTTTAGATCAAATTCATTATCATCAGATATTTTTCTTTTCTTTTCTACTTCGCTCGGCCTCTGGCCGCAGCACACACAAACACACCCAATCATCCTCAAATTATTTTCTCCTATTCATGGCTCCTTTGGACCCGTTTAAACACTGCGTGGTCTCTGATAACAAAATACCACTCTCCGACAGCCATGCCACGTGTCTTTTCTGCTTGGGAGAGGCACACCAGATGTCCTCCTGCCCGCATTGTAAGAACTTCAAGCGCGGAGTCCTCCGTTCTTGCTTATCCAGATTAAAACTCCATCCTTGGGAACAATCCCTTCAACCAACCAAAATGGCCCAACCGCC